AAAAATGCATCAGATATACAATTCCTTTTGGGCAACTTCTGCTCCTTAAGTCCAGACTGATGTTGACTCTGACCTACATGGGATCATCTAACAAACTTCACCTAAGTTTATTAAATATTATAATGGCTCTTCCAAGGATGGAAGAAAAAGGAAAATCAGGCCAATTAATTGGAAAGTTGATTGTGTCCTATGCTTTACAAATGTTCTGCTCTGAAAATTACAGTACACAGGGATCAGCAGCCCAGATGATGTTCATGTCCAACCTGCAGAATCCTTTTCTACCTTGCATAATACGCTTCCTCAACAGCTTAAATATAATAAATCATAATTACCAGCATTGGCAGAGTCTCTGCTTTAAATACGTTTAAATCCAAATAATATTTTCCCCTGCAGAGCTAGAGGGCTCATGGGCATAGTGTGTTTTGGTATACTGGGATGTTTGGATGTGTTGCATGGATGCTTTATAGTATACAGTTATAGAAGTAGGATGATTTATAATCACACTATCCGGTTTTACCCAGATTGAGGATGGGTTCCCTTTTTGAGTCTGGTTCCTCTCAAGATTTCTTCCTCTTGGAGTTTTTCCTTGCCACCATCCCCTCTGATAAATTTCAATTAAAATTATCTGTCAGGATTTCTGTGAAGCTGCTTCGTGAAGATCTCTATTGTTAAAAGTGCTATACAAATAAAATGGAATTGAATAAAATTGCTACAGATATGATTAGTCATAAGGACTTACAATGTATCGTTAATTCATACGCATCTTGTAATGTAAAACACAAAGTCACTTAATTGTACCACTTTTATCACCTCTATCTGAATTTTGTGCAATGGATTAACTGAGTAAATTGTAAAGTGTCCTAATCAGGGGAGTGATTAGATAATGGAGCTCTTAAACACTTAAGATCTAATTCTCTAGAGCTGTGAGCAAAAGCTACATGTGTTTGCATGTGCAAATAGCAAACAGCAAGGAAACAGTTGCCTATGTTACTGATTTTGTGAGTGTCAAAGACCTCAGAGTCTGGGGTAGGGACTAATGAGTAATGATAGGAATTCTGCTTCCTTTCAGTGAGTCAGCTCATTTGGCTCATCTCAGAAATAAGAGTTGACTCTCTCTGCTCCCGAGTGGCTCACTTTTTTTTCTTTCTTATCTAAACCAGAAAATTGTTGGTAATATTTTGATCAGTGATTGTTCTTATGGCTGATAATGGTTAATGAAATCAATGAAAACAAACAGCTCAGATTTTGAAAACAGGTTTCCATGGAAGAATTGTGATTAAACTAAGCTGCAAGAGTAATTGCACTGCCTACATCTGTAAAAAAAAAAAAAAAAAAAAAAAAAATAAAAAAAAAAATAAAAAAGAGAAGCGAAGAAATATATACATGAGTTGGGCCAGCTCAAAGAGCTCAAGTTTGTGAACGCTGCATCACTACTAATGAGCCAACATATCTGATAACTTGCTCATTTTAGTTAAAGTTAACTAGTATTCATTAAAGTACAATTATTTATAATATTAAGAGAAACATTAGAGTAGAATTCAACAAATGTCAGGTAGCAGATTTGCTACTGAAGAGGAACCATCTCCAATTCCACTACAAGGCAGTAAGTTATTTATCTGACAACTGCATGACAAATCACCCTCTCACCTTTGTGAAATGTACAGAATCCAATTCATTCATATCCACGATGGCAAAGCTTTCAGCTTTTACTCTCATTAAGCATTAAATATCACCTAAAGTAAAATGTAACTGAGACTTGTTACTTAAAAATTGCTTTGATATAATGCTTTGCAGTAAAACCAACAAATTATATTTCACTTACTACAGATGTTCAGATGTACATTACCATTTCAGAGTTGAAAGACATGAGCCAGTATGTATGGCATGTGCTTTTTCCTGCATCACATCTGTTGCTTACTTTCCTTCTGGCAGTTTAACTGCGACTTCAGTAGAAGTTGCTACATACTATATATCAATCATTCATCACAGGAGCCATGGTAATGTTGGCAAACAAGTTTCAGCAATGTTTCATTGAGAAACTCTTGATGATTCATACTATGGCTATATAACTAAAGACAACAGACAATCAGAAGAGAGTTGACATAAACTTGTTGATCCTGAGCTTTTTTACAAAAATATAGTACAGGGGCCTTTGAAATGCAAAAAATACATACTGAAATGTATTGGACATTGGATTTCCATACTGGGAAAATGCAATTGTGTAAACAAATAATTCAGGATTTCAATCAACCCCAACCACCCCACCCCCCCACCTCTAAAAAAAAAAGAAGCTCTAATCTTTATGTCCTTCACGTGAATGCCAACACGCGCACATACTCATGTAAACCGACATATAATGATGCTACTATAAAATTTCATTTTGGATTAAAGTGCTCATTTATGAAACCACAAGTAGCACCCAAGGAGTGAGTCACGGCTTAGAATAAAATCTCTTCATTTTCCACCTACTTCAAATATCTCTCAGATCCAACAATGAACACAAACAATGTAACTGCTCCTCGCTTGTGATATCATGAAACAGAAGACCTTCAACATCAATAATAAAACACACATACAGCATACAAAACACATACAACCTACATCACTGAAATTCATGTCAAAGTGCCCTGTTTATGTCATCCGAGGCTGAGCTCTGTGGAAGGAGCTGTCATCAGGCTCTTGGTTGTCCTGCTGAAATGACGTTATCCAATTATTCAGTGCCTAATCAGCCTGTTTTGGTTGCTCTCGTCTCTCTGAGGTACTCCACAGTATAAACAGTTCACTTACTGCACACAGAAAGGGGCTAATCAAGGGAATTATTGTTTTGCTGCGCCAATTTGCCAGCTACGGGTTCGGCACTGATTGGGATGAAAATGTGCTATTGTGTGCCCTGTTCATGCTTGAACTTCAAGTGAAAATAATGCTATGTGAATCACTCCTGGATGATAAGAGACGTATGAATTAAAAAGAATAACACAGAATTCAAGTTGCATTGTATTAACGTTTTTCTTTTTTTTTTTTGTGGAGAATTGTAATTATTTTTTTTGCAACTAATAGTTCAAGCAAAGGTGAAGCCTAATGGGGCATGTGCATGATATGCATTTAGAAATGCAACAGGAGAAAAATAAGGCAAAGGGAAGAACAGCTGAACCGAAACTAGAAGAAACATAATCAAGGTTTCAAAATGGAAACAAACAGGAAATAAACAGGAGGCAGGAAGCACACTTCTGAGAACACATCTGTGACACAAACATTCTTGCTCATCCACCTATGAGCAGGGGGTCCTTTACGGGGCAATGTATGTAGCCAATGACGGAAATATGCCTTGAGCATGGGATCTGAAATACAACCAGTCCTCCAGGATCTCTCCTCTGCAAGTATAAGAAGAGATATATGGGTGGAATAATTGGAAATAGTAAGTTATGTATTTTATTACCTGGACTGAAAATCGTGGCCAATTATTGGACACTAATATTAATTGAATTTCTACTAGTCAACAGACAAACTTCCTCTCTCTCCTGGAAAGTATATTAGAGTTGATCAGCTTGTTCCTTCTACCTCTTCAAATGCAGACTTCCTCAATGCATCAGAGCCAGTCACTCCCATGCACAGAAATCCATGAAAAGTTGGACTGGAAAGCACCAGACTGAGCGACAATTGTACCGAAGTGCTCTGGGCATATGCAGCCCAGGAAAGACACATTGTCCAGACTCACAAGACATCCACTGGTAACGCATGAATGATATTTCCTGCATTCAGCATTGACCAAAGGTGACCAGTTACCAGGTTACCATGAATGTGTTTCAGATTTGGGACACAGTAATATCCCCAGTCCAGAACAATCACCATTAGAATAACAAAGAGTGAAAATGTACACTTTAGAAAAAAAAGATTCCTTTAACCTGGACCTTTTTTTAGTGGATTTGTCCTTCCCCAAAACCAAGGAAATTATTTAGGGTGCGGGAACTTTTGGAACTAAGTGGAACTTTTTTCTAGCACATCTGACATCTGGGACACAAACATGAGAAAGAGAGAGAGATTAACTAAAAAATAGGATAAAGTAGATTTTGTTAAAACATGACTAGTATTATGCTCGGACACTGGGAGCTCTATACAAAGTGCTCCAAGAGATGGCTGATGAAAGATTGGGAGCAGTTCCATTGCTCCCATTGGTATGATAAGTTTCCTTGGTACACACTGCGCATGAATGATATTTCCTGCAGTCAGCATTGGCCAAAGGTTACCAGTACTGTTACACAAGAAATAATTGGAGGTGGTGTGAACCGAGGTGATAAGTCTGCAAAGGGGTTTCCTTTGGGCCTGCCCATTGGTCTGATGTTGCATCATTTTCTACCAGAGAACTGGAATTACAATGCAGGTGGATGGAATCCTAGAGAATTCGGGGATAGCTGAGCGTTATCTGGAAAGCCTGTGAAAAGCTGTCAGACATGGGATGTTTTCACACTTGCACCTTTTTCCTGGACGCTAGGCCATTTTGGACTATTTGGGTGTGTTTGGTCAAGTATGAAAGCTGTTTTTGAACATGGATGCAGTCCTAGGAGCTGAGCTTGAAAACTGTTGTCTAGGGTTTGCTTCAAGTGAGCTCAGCTGTGGAACAGACCATGTCTGAAAGCGATCTGCTTTCAAGGCCAGGAAGCAAATAACATGATCGATTGAATTTAACATGGTGGGGAAAGGCATGTCTTCTCGGTATTTGGAGTAAAATTGATATTTAAACACAATACAACTCTTAAAACCTTGAAAAACTAACTAAATAATATATGAATTAGATAAGCATTAATTAGAACAATAAAGTGATGTTGTTGTAGTTCTTCGTTTGCTGCTCCTGTTACAGGTCTCCACAGCGGATCATTGGTCTTCATAGTTGATTTGGCACAGTTTTTATGCCAGGTACCTTTCCTGTTGCAACTCTTCCCAAGTTTATCTGGGCTTGGGACTGGGAGTACACTGTCATGTGCAACTCAAGCGGCCGGGGTTGGTTCCCTGGCCGGGACCTGAACCCGGGCTGTGGCGGCGAGAGTACCGAGGCCTAACCACTAGTCCTCCAGGGACTCCAATAAAGGGATGTACCTTTTGCAAAAAATTTCCCATTTGCAAAAATTACACACACAGCAGAAGTGACAAGTGAAATTAATCTCTGTGAAAGCAAACTTGCAATGATGATGACCTCCTGCTAACAAGTTCAGAATTGATTATGGCTTTGGACCAAGCCCATAGTGTGTTTAAGGCTTGATCTCTAGTTAATTGTGCTGGAAATATATCAAGAATCATTTGTGACTGACTTGATAGAGTTTAGTGTAATTAACTTTTAAATGTTCTCTCAACATTTTTTTCATCTTTAAATGTTCTCTCCCAAAAAATAGGTTTTTCTATTTGCTATAAATTCGAATTAGATTGAAAAAAGTGCATCTGTCAGCCAGTGATAAAACAAAAGTAACTTAATGGTAGCTTAATGGAACTTCTGGTTGCCAACACAAAAAGTTTTATTCCGGTGCTGATAGTATTTTTTTAAAGGAATACACAGTGTATAGGCCTGGCATCTTCTTCTAAGAGAAATAGTAAGGACATTGAAATGGTCATCCAATTATACTCCTTCATATATACTTCATATTTATTGGTCACCTATAGTATTGTGATTATTGTACTGTCGGCTACACTCTCGGAAAAAAACGTTAAATACAATGTACAATGTACAATCTCTACAACTATATATACATGTCTCAAAGTACTTCGCTGACAAAGACCACTTTACAGATCTAGTATAATGTAGATACAATGGACTTATTAACACAATATGTGACAGAACATGGTGAAACAGCTAGCATCCTCAGTAGCTGACCTGATTCAGTTGAAGCATCTGTCCTCTAAATTCCCTGCCCTCTGCAGGATACTCAAACAGCACTGTGAACTGATCAAACAGCCTGATTTTCTAATTACTGTCCTCCAAAGCCCTAGCAGATAGCAAAGACATGTATAACAAATGTTAGCTTTCTTGGTAGGCTGTATGTGGCAACGTTTTTGTGCAAGATAATTGGAGCAGTGCCCAGTGGAGCAATTCCTAACATGACTTGCGTACATCATTGCATTTTTGAGAACAATAGATGGTGTTTGGCTCACTTCCCTTGACAGTGCTTGTGTTGTAGTGTCTAAGAAAGTTGAGCCAGCTACTGAGCCATATATATGCAGCTATAGATAGCTGTTGAAGGTGCTCCTGCTGCTTCCCCTAATTGTGCGTAGTGTCAAGCCTTCTTCTGTGTTCTTTGTATGAAACAGAAGATCTGTTACAGCACCAGGAGCAAGATGTATGCATGTAAGCTTTTTTTTTTAAAATACTGAGAAATGAAACTGTAACAAGCACACAACATCGAAAAATTACTGGGCTTGCACCATTCACTCTGTACATTTGTAGATCCTTAATAAGATCCTTATTAGTATATTAAGTGACACAACTGCTCAGATTTTTTAAACTTCAACAATTCTGAGCCTTTTATCATATATCTTACTAGACAACAGCTACAACATGTCAGGACCTTATATTTCCTCAGGACATACAGAGATAGCAGGCAAAGAAGACACCGAAGCAAAATCCTTCGGAAAATCCTTTAACAACAGTACTGAATAGACCTCTGTAAAGACCGCTCTTATGAGGCTGCGGCGCCATAGCAAGCCACAAGTAAGACTGTAAAAGCAAGTAGGGGAGGTAGGGGGAGCTTCAGAAGTCAAGTCTATCTGGCACTTAGCATTTTACTGCTGTGTATTAGTTACTGTATGTTTGGAAAGCCCATTAGCAGGTGTGCCTTTACTGTTTGACCTAACAAAGGCCTTTATGTTTAAAAGAGTCAGCCTGACTGGATCATTTCTCAATGAAAACAGAGCTGCCGGCAAGTGAGTGCAAGTAAACACACCCACCTACACGCCTCACTCACGCATTCACATAGACTTTAATGCATGTGTGTGTAAACACACCCAAACAAACATTCTCAAAGTGCTCTTAGGTATATACATTTTTTCTGTGCTGTAATGTGGACAGACTGCGAATCAGATATAATGAGTTAAAATAAGTTGTTTGATAAGTAGATAATTAAATGTACAAAGACCTGAACTGCTTGAACAGTTTATGGAATGGTTGGATTTAATTAATAATTAATTTGTTTATGCTATACTATGTGTCCTGTATGTGGAATGAAAAATTATTAATTATTAAATCTTTGACATTCAATATTTTAAATAATCACTAAAATGCTAAGCCAAAAAAAAAAAAAAAACCATGACTCCTATTTTGTGGGAAAAAATGATAAACAACAAATTTATAACTGATGCAGGAAATGTTCCTATCGTCTGTTTATGATGACTAGAAGATCATGTGATCAACATCATTCACTCAAATTACAGTGTTCAGTGGCAGTCGACTTCCTTTGCAAGTATTCACACGTAAAAAAAGGAAGAGAACATCTATACCGCTAGCATTCCTTGGCTCGCTTTTAAGAGGTTCTACACAAATACACGGCTGCAATTGCCTTGGTATTCACAGCCATAAAAGCTACTTTATGAGTCTGTCAGAAGAAGCGATTCAGCTGTGTCTTCAGAGCAGAAAAAATAATCAGATAATACACAACTATAGTGGACGGGCTTTACTTGTGCTGTAGTTACAGAAGTATTTGATATTGAAAATAAAATGAATCGATATCATGCCACTTTGAAGCCTCATGATATAAAGGGAAAATTAGTTCAATTTAACTGTGTGTATATCACTGGCATAGCGCTAATCAATAACAAATCTTAACATTTATAACTACAGAATGTCTCATCTATTGCTGACAGACATATCTTTATAAAATGTAATATCAAAATACAAATTAATCTACAAAGATTATCAAGGTCAATTTCTGTAATGTGTAATTAACATAATATTATAAGGGGGAAACAGTGGGAAATGGTTATACATTGATAGGGAACATAACCTTTCAAACTAGCTTCAAGATTTATGCAGGCAAAGAATAGATAGATCAAGACAGGCCTAGATTTCATTAGCTTTGAGAGACAATAATGGTTTTCATTCCTCTTTCATTCGAGCCCACTCTTTCTGTCATTTCTCCCAACCCCATGAGTCTGAGTGGAGTCTGATTGAAAGGAACCATCATATGCACATCACTGTTGCCCCACATCATTCAGAGAACAAACCGTTTTAGAACCTTAACTATAGCAGCAGCACTGATTGCTCAGGCACCGGCAATTTCCTAACCAACCACCACCTGAACAATGATGTGTTCAGCCCTCTTCTCCCCAGCCTTTCAGACGAGGAATCATTTCACAGTTTGGAACGAGATCTCCATAGCAACTCCTCTTTGAGGGGTTTAGAATCACCATCCAGTAATTCTATGATCATCAGCCACAGCCATTCCCAACCGTTCTTTTCAGAACGGCCACAGAGGAGAAGAGTGAGGGGTAGGGGGGCGGGGGTGGCTGAGGGGGAGGAAGTGCTGAAATTCTACAGTCTATTTCAGGCAATTCATGTACACAGTCTCCATTAGAATTCAAAATATTTCGACCTTCAATCAAGCAGCGTTATGTGAAGCTGCTTCGATCTCCAGTCAAGACGAGCAAATGTTTTAGTCTAATCACCCAGGATGAGTGGAGGCAGACAGAGCCTACTCGATCGGAGGCGAATCAAAATGCTCTTTTTAAATGCTGACTGTCTCAACACAAAGCACAAACACACAGCGCTGGATTCGGACCCCCTCCTCTGTCTCTGTCTGTCTGCAAATGGATCCTAAAATACAGTAGATTTGCTCAGTGACTATAATCACATTTCACATTATAACTGCGGAGAGGGTAAATGCATCATTTGTACTGTAAATTAGACAGATTTTCTATGCGGTTGTACATCTAACTCACTGTCCAAAGCCTCTGTCTGCTCCCTGACTAACAAAACTCTTAAACTAAAATCCATGTCTACGTATGTGCAATACAGAGCACATATAATAACAATCCTACAGCATACTGGTTTCCTCTTAACCTATATTTTCATTTATCAACCATATAGAATTGTTTTAATATTGCAATCTGGGTGTTTCTTTTGAGCTACTTGACACATTATGCAAGACATGATTCTCTCTACAGTCTCTGGCACCTTGAAGTGCTGAGCAGAATGAAGCCAAGTGACAATTCACTTAGGTAGTCAAGTTGATGAGCACTCGATGAGACTAAAGTGAAAACTGGGATTACAGCTTGCCACTCTTTACATGACACAGCAACACAGTGCACTTGTTAACCTTCATTGTAAACCACAATAAATAGTCTTTCCACAATAAACAGATGACCACAGTATTGTTGCAAGCTACACAAACAAATCTATGGAAACAGATCATGTAATCACGCCAGGGATTTAAAAAATGTATGATAATATTTCTACAGCCACAATAGAGAAAAAAATGTCAGAGCCACCTCTGACTGTTTAGTGGTGCTACTCAGTGTAATTCAAGACATTGTGGTTATGCCTCCAACCAATGACAGCAAAGCATCTCTAGACAGCACATAGTTTTTTATTTCCAGTCCCTGAGTAAACATAGTAGGATTTGCCTGATTGTCCAACAGTATTTCTGCAGCTTTATCAGGGCTGTGGTGCTGTAAAATAACAACCTTGCTCTGTTGGGCTAAGCTATTTCACAGCGACTATGCCACATGCTTCTTGCTCTGAACAGCCTCACACAGGTGTCGGTGTCAGTAGCGATTAGTGAGTAGGAGGGTTTGGATGAGCCAAGTATAACAGCAGTGGTTCAATTGATCAACCACATCCAGGCCATGTTAAAATGTGCTGTGCTGGGGCGTTTTGGCTGCTGCAGATATTGAGCAAGAATAACAAGTTGGGATGAAAAGAAATTGTAAATGTGTACCAGACTGAGGCAACTGGGAAAGAAGGAGAGGGTTTAGACCACTCAGACCTACAGACAAAGAAGGGGAATGGGGCAAAGCTGCGATCCTCATCACTGGAAGAAAAACAAACAAATTATGTGACAACTCTGGAGTCTTCCAGAAAAGAAGAATAGAACAA